TTAAAAGATTGACGATAAGCTATTCTCGGAGAAAACCCGACAGAAAATAAGATTGACTGATTGAATGTTGTATGCGAAAGGCTGATTTGTCATTTTAGTCGGAGAATAAGTTGTTCAAAAGAAATTTTGCGAATACATTCAGAGGCCTGATCAGAGATCGTGGATTATATTTCAAATGTAAGCAGAAGTGGTAAAGATACATTGTTGCGGGTATTCAAAGTTTGTAGCGCCGCCCCAATAAAGACGCCCGTGTAGATGCTGATAGTTGTTTATTTGTTTCCTTCATTCATAACAGGGCAGCAAGGGCTAACAGTGGTACAGTCGGTAACCACTCTTACACTCCAAGCAGTGATAAGCACTTTAAATTCCTAGTAAATTAATAGTTGTACAATTCATAATCAAATTTTAATTTTATGTTCTCACTTTTCGTCCGCTTCCCTCGGGTGTCAAATAGAAAAGAAAGCTAAGGCACATGGTTACCGGCTGACTTAACAGAGATTCAACACCCGTTTAAACTATCGGTTCTGCAACTTCGGCGTTGCCGGATGCCGCGGGAGCAGTTTTAGTATCTATCGTAACATACATGTTTACGCTTAGTGTTTACAAAGTTATAAATCTGCTTAGGATCCTGAGTAAATTGTATCCGGCAGGGGCTAATATATAATCCCTTTAACATTCAGCGTTATGCACGGTAAAATTTGACCAAGCTATTAGAAAAATCTATACTTGAAAAGCTAATCTATCTATCTACTTGAAAAATCTATACTATTGCATGTTTTTTAATATTTAAGAGCCTGTTTTTAGTATTTTTTAAGTTCGTTAGGCACCTTGCAAGCCAAGGAGGATTTGGTGAAGCTGACGGATATTTTTATGGCACACATGAGTCAAAAATTGATCCCCATCAGGATCAGATTTGTATCTATGAATGAATGAATAAGTTCATAATAATATGAATAAGTCTAATAGCCGACCGAACAAATTACTAACTCAGTTAATTTGGCGGTCAAGTCATGGTGCGTGATAAGTGATAAAGATGGTGAGTTATCGACAACAGACCACTTCAGTTCTGGGTTATTAAAGTCACCCAGAGCTACAAGCTGGTCAAAATCGGATATAAGATTAAAAACGGATTGAAAAGCGGACCAATGATGCCAGTATGTGGCCAGATGCCAGTAATAAAGTTAAGGGAGTTTGCTACGATATATGAGGGAGTATCCCTTTAATATTCTGAAAGATATATATTAGTGAAGATGTTAGTTTTTTTAATTAGTGGATTGGTGAGTGGTCAGTGGTTCTAATATGTGGAAGTTTCACTCCCATTGGTTTTAAAACTTTTTTCTTTACGGCAATAGGTTGATGTTCTTGGACTAAATTTTCTCTGGCCAAAAACTGGTTAAACAAGTCTTGAACATCGGCGTGGGCACACGAATCTTAAATGAACACGTGCGCCTTATATATGCAGGAATCACCTAAAAGGGTTTTGGTATCACAGGAACGAGACCTGCAGCATCAGTCGGTACCGGGGGTCCTGTCTGTGGAATACCCTCTTTGGTGACTCTAACGGGGGTTTTATTCACTAGGACCCGTGGTATCACTTGAAGGGATGCCACGGAGAACATATCGGACAATTATTCATTTGCACTGAGAAATTTGGACGGCGAATTGTTCTTAGTTCTAGCGATATATGAGATATCCTGGCCAGAGATATGAGCGGCTACGTTAATGTCGGTTGAGCAGGCTGAGGCGCATCACAAACAGCGGATTTCTTACGCGAGGGGCTCGTTTAGCAGCTGAAGACAGAGGAAGAGGATGTTGGAACGACTTTGTTGGAATGTTTCGCTTTATTCTGTTGAAACGAACCTTACAAGCCTTACAAATGATTAAAGCATATTCCAGCCTTGACCGATGATTTTTAGTGTGCCTAGTGTGGATTTTTAAATTGGTTCATGGGCCTCTTCACAAAGTTCAGCTTAGCATACGTTTTAGGCAGTATATAGAATAGGTGCCCAGAAAATTCAAATGAAATTTTTTCCAGTGAAACTGGTGGAAAAACTGGGAAACTGAGGCTGTGAATCCGGCACAATTGGAGTGTACGACGTTTTCACGTAGCCAGTAATGGATGGTAGGCTGGGATGAGGAGATTGTCTTGTTACAAGAATTCGTTGAACACACGAGTTTCAATTCCATTTTAATAATTAAAAATATATAAAAAGTTTATATATAAAAAGTACTATATAAAAAGTTTCTCTAAATTCAATTCTCAAGTAAACACCGGCTTACAGCATGATTTATCATAAACGCAGTGCGCACAAAAAAACACGACCGTTCGCTTCAGAAGTGATACAAGTGATGAGAAGAAGTGATGTACTGCAAGATTATATCAACGACGACTCCACCCGAAGTTTGCTTTCATTTCTATTCTGACACGTGTTTAAGGCGTCTAAAAATGGGCAAAACACTCGTAGAAGGGGACAATGCTTCGATTACGAAGTTTTGAATTTTATACCCGACACTCTTAGAGTACAAGGATATATTGTATTATATTTGTGTGAATGTATTTAACATACAGAAGGAATCATCTTCGACCCCATAAGCTATATATTCATTCTTCATCAATATAAACAGTCGGGTCGATATAGCCACGTCCGTGTGTCCGTATGAGCGGGTCGATCTCAGAGATTTTAAGAGTCAGAGCTATAAGATAGCTATATCTAAACGACAGGCTACGCCCAAGTTTAAAAAAAGGAAAGGATCGTGCAGAGGTCTTTGCTGAGGATTTTAAAGAACTCTTCAAACCCTTTCAGACTGATTAACTGAGAAAATGTGAGATAAAAGATACATTTCTAGCTTTTTTACAGCTTTCATGGCTTTTAGGTTTAAAAAAACATAGAAACAATATATAATAATATATAAAAAAAATATATAATATTGTGAAGTTGGTTCCTCTTCGTGCGATCCCGATTCTTTTTCTGTTGTTCAATGCTGCTTTTAAGATTGGAAATGTCCCAAGGCCGTGATAGAAGGCTAATGTCTCCATGATTAAAAAGAGGGGAAGCCGCCAACCTCAACAGCTACCGTCCAATCTGTCTACTACTAACTGCATCGAGTGGGAAAATTCGTTTAAGACGGATTTCAACGGAAGGAGTTGGTGGCTTCATTTCTAGACATCCAACAGTCCTTTTACAGGGCTTGGCATCAGGACCTTCTGTATAAGCCAAAAGGCCCTCTCCATCACCAACTGTTTCAAATTGTCGGCTGCTTGCTTTTTGCAAGGACCTTTTCCGTAGTCCAAGATGGAACAACATCCACGTCTATCAATGCAGGAGTTTCCCAAGGAAGCGTCCTTGGAAGCTCTTAACTCACTATGCTCCTCAGCAGTCACACAAAAAAACAATGTGTGTTGCCCTCTGCGTAGATGACAAGGCCATTTTAGTAAGAAACAATTTTGTTTCTAAAACTTTCAGAGGTTTTAGAAAAAATTTAGAATTGGGCCTGCCGATGGAATTTTTCTACTACCCCAAATAGTATGATAATCAATGATACTACTACCCCAAATGATAATCATTTCAAAATGTCAATTAAATTGGATGCTTTGGGTAGCCCAACATTATACAAAAGCCCAACAGAAGCTTGGATTTTTTGTATTGTTATGAGACTTAATCTATATATATAAAACTGAAGAGCGGATTTGTCTTAAATTAATCTTGAAATGTTCGCAAACGCGACAAAATTCCGTAGTCACGTCTATATACACTCTTTTGAAATGGCTCTACTTAAAGTAACGAATAACAAAAAGTAGGGATTGAGCGTACGTTTATATAAGTGGTCGGCACCGAATACATTGATATCATTTAAATGCATTAGTATTAGTAACGAGTATCAGGGAATAGGCTGAGATCATGACGTTTCACAGATTTATACAGTGTGTGCGTGTTGGAGAGATCGGTCAGAGAAATTTCCTGTGTCACTGAAAATTCGGGAATTAGCCCTTTTTTTGTGTTTTTGCTCCCGGAGAAACGGGATAAATGTTCTTAAATTCATTGCCGTTGGCGAGGATTATATCGCGAAATGATGTTGGTCTAACGTTGGCTTCATCTGGAAATTAACATTAAATATGCAAATCACCGAAACACCAATTTAAAACATCATAAAAAAAAAACGCAAGGTCCGCAAGGTCCATGCAAATTAATTGTTTTGGATAAAGGCACAAGGTCCATAAGAGGTCACTGGAGGCACTGAACAGCACATTGAAAAAACTTCGTGACAACCGAAATAGTTTTGGTGGGGCCATGATTTTGTTCCATGGGGGGCCATGTTTACGATTTTCGTCAGACTTTTTCAATTATTCCCCGATCAACTTTTGCTGATAACTAAATGTTATGCCTATTTAATTTAATCTAGGTGAATGTTTAAAATCATCAAATTTATGTCAGTTTACTGCCTCCAATTAAAATGCAAGAAACATCGACGATGAAATGTATTTTCGAAGCAGTTGTTAGACATTGAAAATAATAAAGTTGCAATGACACCTTGACCGTACACGGATTCAAAGAGGAGCTTATTCCGCGTTCTTTTCAGCGCTTATAGATATAATGATAACCTTATAGATCGCTTATATCGCGCTTATAGATGTTGTTCCCGCAAACACTGATGGTTTCAACGGATTTACCATTCGATTTTGAACGGAGAGGCTTTGCGATGGCAATAAATAAATTGCAAAGAAGTCTTTAGAAATTTACGTATATTTTATTATAACAGTTTGATTCTATCAAGTTTAAACCTTGATCTTAACACTTAATATATAACCAGTATTTCAGTTAAACTCTCTTTTTTTAAGTAAGCAGCATGATGTGTCGAAAATAATAAAACTTCATTCCTCATTAAAAAAATTAATTTCTTACAAAGTTTGCAGGGTTAGCTTGTTCATTATATTTCAAGAACCACTCAATTATTTTCTATCAAAATTAACAAAATATATATATTTATTCATTTTTTCAGAGTGGTGTTGGAGATGTTGGAATACGGACAAATGGACATCCTGGAGACAACCCCTTTTACAGTAACATTGACAGTATGCCTGATATACGTCCTCGAAGAAAATCAATTCCCCTTGTTTCGGAACTGGTAAGAAGTTTGTTAAAAATAAATTTTATTTAAAAGAAAATGTACATAAAAAGTCCACAAAGTATTTAATTTGTGTATTATTTCTGACTTTATTATATACATATATACATACAAATGTAAATCAATTTTAATTTTTATACTCTTGCAGAAGTTATTATAATGTTAGTGAAAAGTATGCAACGCATTAAAGGAAACATCTCCGACCCTATAAAGTATGTCTTTTTGATCGGGATTATTCTTGAGTTGATATAAGCATGTCCATCTGTCTGTCTGTTTCTAAACGAATAAGGCACGCAGTTTTAAAACAATCGACTTTAAGCCTTGATCACACCTTTCTTTCTTTTGCACGCGGGATATAAACCGGAAACACTATATAATATAGCTTTCATATAAGTGATTGATCTGGTACTGGTACTCTGTAACTGATTCTTTTTAACTGTAACATAGAGAATGAATCATAAGGTATATATATATTCTTGATCAGCATCATTCCGTCTGTCCGTCCGTTCGTCTGTCTGTATGATCGCGTTGATCTCAGAGACTTTAAGAGACGGAGCTATGGTATTTGGCATGAAAACTACTAGAATGCCCACGCAGTTCAAGTTTGTCTCAAATTTTTGCCACACCACTATCTGCCCCCATAAATTGCAAACTTCTAAAGCGCCAGTACCCGAAGGTTTTTGAAAAAACTTTTGACTTTTGAACTATTTTTATAGTTTATTTAAATTTGAACAACAAATTTTCATCCAAATCGACCGACTTAAAATTTTCATACAAACGGGTTACAATTTTAAACTCGTGGATCTCAAAGACTATAAGAGACCTATCCGATTTGGAACTTGGATTCGAATGATATTCCTGCAAGTCAAAATTTGGCCACGCCCACTCCCGCCCCCAAAACAGAAAACACCAGCCAGTTAATTTATATTTTTGAAACATTTTTGGATGTCAAACTGTTGTGTCAAACAATGACTAATCTACACCTACATATTAAAATTCAGCCAAATCTAATAATTTTTGGAGGATTAAAGACTTTTTAATCTGTTTCCCTGCAGTAGAGGGTCCTCATTGTTTTTCCCAAGCCTATAAGTATGCAACAACATTTTTTTGCGGAGAATCTATACTATTCATCAAAGTGTGAGTGAAAGAAATGAGTACTGGGTATAATATAGTCTGACTTTAACCGTCCTTTCTTGTTAGAGTTGGAAAGTTTGAATTTCTATAGATTCTTGTTTTTTTTTTCTTTTTTTTTAGCTGCCATGTAACAAACGTTCATAAAATACCCAACTTTGGTTTGAAAGATAGAAGATTCATACTTTTAATAAAAATGTTTAATACATTAAATTGATTCTTCAATAAATTTCTCATAGGGGCAATTGAATCCGATATTTATGATATATGTCCGACCTAAACTGCAAGGGTATATCAACTTCGGCCCCAACCGAAGTTAGATTTCCTTTCTTGTCTAACCTATAATACCATTTACGATTTCTCTCTTCGATGATTTTATGGATGACAGGTGCTCAAGGTATATTTATATAGCTTTCTAGTTGTAACACTTTTATTTTGTATTGTATTCATTTCAGCTAGATTTTTATATACATTTATTTAAACCTCACTAAATCAAATTAAATTTACCTTTTTTCATATATTTTTCTTATTTCAAGATGTTCTTATTTCAAACACTTAAACTTAGATATATGTACAACAGTGGGGCGCAAGACGTACACATGTTTAAAATTGAGTGTATGCGTTGCAGCAAAAAACAATGAAAGCAGGGCATTCACTGAGCGAAAAAAAAAACGTAGTTTTGTATTTCATTTTTCGTTAAGTGAAGAGTTGGAATGGGCACTAAAATAGTTTATTTTATTTCAAAGAAAGCTTTTCAAGCAACAGTTCTTAAACGAATGAAAAACTACGTGTCTCTATTTATATTTTCCTATGGAGAAAACTTGTTCCAACCAAATTTTTGAGAAAATATTTCTCAGTAGAAACATTTTATTTTTTAAGTTAGGTGTGTTAAATGAGGCAAAATGGGAGCCAATGCGAGAACTTCTAAAACAATTTGAACGTGCTCACACTGTCAGTGTGCCGGCATAGCTGCGGCATAATTCCCGACCTCATGCACCCTTGCTATGGAAAATAAGAGTTTGGCCCCCACTGATGTACAGGCAGGCTCCGGTGTTTACTTTTGGAAGTGAATTACTTTTTTCTGATAAAAATTTACATCTAATTAAAATAAAGTAAAAATAGATTACGTAGTGGTAATCTATTAATCTAAGCTTAATTAGCCGATTAAGCTAAATTAAATTAAGCTTATGGTTATTTAGAAAAGAATTATTTTCTGAACACACTTTATTTTTGGATCTTGAAAAAGTAGCATGGCAATTCACTTTTCGTTTTTAGAGCTTGTGTATTGGGATTGACAGATTTATGGGTTACTTTGATGCCAAATTTTGTGGGGTAATCAAACAAAATATTTGGAATGATTAAGGCGACTATAAAATTAAATTTTCTAAATGGATGGATCTAATTAAAATTGGTTTAGAGAAAGTCGAATAATTTTTGCATTTAAGTAAAAAGATGTTTATGTGCGGCAAGTGAGGTGGGATTATGTAATTATAAAGAGGAGAATCAAAGGGGTACGAGTGTAAAAACTTTACTGAGAAAAGTTTTGCCAAAAAAAAAAGGTGTGAAACTGCAGCGGCATTCACAGGAAATTTCGGTTGTTAAAATTCACTTCCTAAAAGTAAACGCCGGAGGCTCCCTCATAAAAATTTTTTTCGAAAAACATACATATTTTGTATGCTTATGCAAATATAAAATCTATATTATGTTCGATTGTATAGTGATGAAGCCCTTTGATATTGTAAGAATAGAATTTTTAATATTTCTAATATGTAATTATTCTAATAATAAATCTAATTATATTATTTTCTTTATTAAACAAAAACTTGTTGCTTTTTTTTTGACCAAATACAAACATTAAATTTACTTAGGAGGGCTAAGTCAACATTATGATACATATATGTATATATTATTAAAAACGGTAGTCTTTCACTCAAGGCTGAAAAAAGTCTTTAGGTCAGAGGTCGGCACGGCCCTATCCCGAGGGCATAGGAAATTTCTCTGCCCGAGCTCTGCCACACAAATGTAAATTTATGAAACGACATGCTCACAGCCTATTTTCTGCTATTCGGAACTAACACTAATGCGTTAAAATCATATCAATGTATTGAGGTGCCGACCACTGCTTTAGTTTCATAAAGGATTTTTATAGTCTTCCAGAGGGTATTATCTTTTTGGCCGAGAAGGAGCAATGCAGTGAAGAAGCATGCTCGTCTGCCTATAAATTAAATATATGTTGTTTTATATGTTTGTATTACTTTATTATTTTTGTAAAATGGTGAATTTATGATCAACCGAGCCGCGCCTTATAGCGGTTAAAACTTCTGAAATTGGTCACAAGCAATGCTGGCGTTAAAAAGGGTTGGGAGATAGAGTCCAAAAAACAGTCTTTATTTCAATTCAATAATTTTGATTTATTTATCAATATCATTTTTAATTTTGTTTAAAGCTAAAAAATTTTTTACTTAGAGTTTAGACTTATTAAATATCTTTACAACTATAATATTCTATTTTTTGTTTATTTAATATTTATTTGTTCATTTTAATTACATTTAATAACCCAAGAAAATGGTAAAACTTGGCTCAAAGGGCTTAAAGAATAAAGATAAAACTAAAACTGGTGCTTCGTGGTTACTAGCGTAATACTAGGAAGGGAAGGCACGCGGATGTGCGATAAAGGATTTCCGAATATTGAATTTGTTTGTTGAATGAGAGATGAGTGCATCGATCATTTTAATATCTTCTTTTAAATGCAGACGGTTGGTCGCATAGAAAAATGGTAAATTATAAATCATTTTTAAGATTTTATTTTGAGCAAGTTGTAATTTATTTACATGGGTCTTGGCACTACAGCCTCCGATTTCAGATCCATAAAGCATTATGGGTAAAAATATTTGTTTATATATTGTCAGCTTATTGTGATTTGACAGATTTGATCTGCGATTTATAAAAGGGTACAATATTCGGATGGTCCTATTTATTTTGTCAATGGTGTGACCATTGATTGATTATGTGACCATTGAAAATAAGTTTTTTGTCAAAATTAATGCCAAGATACTTTATGGAGTTTTCCAATTTAATGTCAGTGTTATTTAGTTTAAGTTCACTATTTGGCAGAAAACACAGTTTCCGTTTTTGGTGAAGAAAATTGATTTCGTTTTTGAGGCATTTATTTAAATTTTCCATTTATAAAAATAAGAAGATATTGCATCTAAGGACATTTGGAGCTCGTTTTCTATCGAATTATAAGTAGTGCCAGAGCTAAACAGGGCTGTGTCGTCGGCAAATATAAAAACACATCTTTTCTGTTTTTAATATAGAAAGCTTGGGGTCCACAGAATCTATTTTTGCCTAACTTCGTATAACATTTTATAAGGATTAAATTTGCATATATAAAAGATTGGAAATAACTTAGCTTTTTGTGCTAATAAAAAAAAAGACTTTGGAATTTTTAAAAAATTCTAAAAAGTGTCTGCAAAAGTTTCCAATGTTTGCGATATATATCCGATCCGATAAAAATCTTAGAAAGTGACACTGAAGTTTAAGGGTATATTAACTACGGCTCCGTCCGATGTTAGCTTTTCTTTCTTTTTTTATTTGTTAAATATCCTTTGTTTCTGTAACTTAAGTATCTATTGTATAAATTTGAATATTGATGAATATTTTTTTCTCCTAACTATATTAAGACGCTCTATATAAATAGCTTAACAGGACATTTGCTGAATTTTTGTTTCTCATGATATTTTTATGATCTTTATGCCGAATAATTTCAAATTTTGAAAAAAGCAAAGAGGCATAAAAGCATATTTCTTACTAATTTGTTTTACCAAGCTTATTATTTTGTTCAAATTGACTTAAACAAATTTACTTCAAAGGCTTTTTTTAAAAGTTAAGCCTATGATACACTTAATTGTATCATGGTTAAGCCTTTTTTATCCATATAAAATGAAAGTTTAATTCTTTCCTTATTTTTTTTTACCTAATTTTGACAAATATTAATTATTTCTAATGTCATTTATTTAAAATAAGTTTAAATTAAAAAAATTTGTTCAAAATGGTTTCAACTAATTGTAGTAATAAATATTTTCATACATACATATTATATATGCGTTGGCAAAAAAAGTTAACTTCATGGAGTTTTTTAAAAACAATTATGCTTACGATACTTTAGACCATGGCCGCTACAAAAAGAAACGCTGGACTGACATCCGCCGTCCCACGAGCAACACTAAACGACGAAGAGTTGGTAAGTTAAATTTTTATTATTTGATATAACATTAAACCGTTGTGCTGCTGCCCGACCCGACAGTAAGTTTCTAAGTATTTTTCGATTTCGAGCAAGCTAGTGGAGAAATGCCAACTGACTCTCTCTGATTTTATGGAGTTCGGTCTTTGATAACCATTGCTTGTCTGATCAAATTGGGTACATCATCCGCGTAGTTTATTGCCTTACATGCAGCGTCTTCTATGAGAAGACGTTTATTAACTGCTACATTCCATAGAATAGAAGAGATCACCCCTCTTTTTGGTGTTCCTTTATGGTCCATTGCCAAATTCATCCCAATAAGGGATTTTTTACCAATAAGTAAAAATTTAAAAGGTGAAACAAGCTCAGGGCTTTTAAGTTCTCTTTTACTCGCCTCAGCCTTATCAATGACTTGTAAGGACTCTTAGCTTGAGTTGATCGAAGTCTTATCCCTAATTCCAAAGTATTCCTTCCTAACCTAAGTTGGGAGTAATTTTGGAGACCACCTTCCTAGGTCAGCTCAGTTGAATGTCAAATCAAGAGCTATTTTTTTTTTCCCCACGCAATTCTTTATGCTGATGCATTTATCTGGTTTTATAGACCCTTAGGCCACATCTGTTCCGATCGGCATAGTCTATTTGAAGGACTTTCTCGCTGACGTCTTGAAAGGCTGACGCCCACCAAGGAGGTTTCCTTGCCTTTCTGCCGCTGGTCCTAGCGGCATTTCCTCATTTCTGTAGAATTTGCATTAACATCATTTTGTCCGCGAAATCTTTATACATTACATGTACCGCCTTCGTCCGAAACGCCCACATATTGGCACCATTTGACCGCTATTCCGCTGATGGTTCTACTCTTTCCACAGCTTTTTCGCTTTCAACCCCAGAGGATCCATATCACCCCACGCTGGAGGTCTCAATCGAAACCATTCCTGGAATCGGTCAGATACCTCCATGCGTGGCAAATAAGTTTCGATGTTTCCGTAAAGTTGATTTTCACAAACCTAGCAGCCTTATCAATACATATGATTGGTCCAATATTCTAACATGCACCGATGTAAATGTCACCTTAGAAAAATTTTACCATTATCAGTGGCGCAATTTCTCTCGTGGTCCCTATGTTCGGGCACCCATATGAGGTGGATGTCATACTGTTCTTCCATCTCGTTAAGAGATTTGCGACAGTCGTTCACTGTCCTGGAGTTTGATGAAAATCCGTCAAGGGCTTTGAGTGCCACTTGACTGTCTGAGAAGATACAGATAGTGTCTTGATTGCCAGTAAGTGCTGGAGTCCTTTCCCGATAGCTATTACTTCTGTTTGGAACACACTACACTACATTTAGACACAGCCGCTCGCTGTGAAAACCGCCTCCCACCTGGCCATTTAATTTTGAACCGTCTGTGTAAATATGAAGGGAACCGGCTGGTCCCGGGATTTGTGTGACCCATTTTACCCTGGTTGGAATGGATACCTCATATTTTAAGGTGGGATGATGGTGAAGTAGTGTAGGTTCAATTTGGTATGTCCATAGTCGGTCCTTTTCCATAGACCCGTCTCCCGTATCCTAATTGCCGATAGCGTGGCTATCTTGGCCCCCACTAACTCTACAGGTTATAAGTCGATTAAGAAGTCTAGGGCGTCTGACGGTGTAGTAAGAAGGCTGCCTGTAATGCAGACCTTCGCCATCCTTTGCGTTTTCCGAAATCTGTCTCTATATGTGTATAGAGTTTTAAAGCTATCGACTTAAAACTTTGCACACACCCTTCTTTCCTTTGCACGCAGTATTTAAGTCGAAACGGCGCGGATCGGCCGACTATATCCTATAGCTGCCATATAACTGATTGATCGGAAATGGTATAACTTTAATGTTTTAAGAGTAAGAGAGTTAAAATTTGACACGAGAGCTATTTTTGGCATAACATTCTATATCCTATAGCTGCCATATAACTGAACGATCGAAAATGACCCAACTTTCGTGTTTTAGAAGACAGAAAGCTGAAACTTAGAACAAATTCTATTTTAGGTCAGATAATCCGACTTACCAAATTTCATAAGGATCGGCCGACTATATCCTATACCTGACATATAACTGAACGATCGGAAATAACTTAACTTTTGTGCTTTTGAAGATAGAAAGCTGGACCTTGGCACAGATTTTAGATTTGGTCAGTTAATCTAACCTTCCAAATTTCATAACGATCGGCCGACTATATCTTATAGCTGTAACTGTACGATCGGAAATGGTTTTTTGGTAGGAATATCAACTTTGGTATTTTTGAAGATAGAAGTTTGGGACTTTTTTTAGATTTTTCATTATAATAAATTGGGTTATATTATCATATTCTTATTAGGATCGGCTAACTATATCCGATGTTTGCGATTTATATCCGGTTTTAACTTCAAGGGTATATAAACTTCGGCTCCGCCAGAAGTTAGCTTTCCTTTCTTGTTTTGCTACTGCCCGATCTGCTTTTGGGACAAGCTTTATTGAATACCCTGGCGCACGCCGCCGTCAGCGTGTCTACCATGGCACCCAGGTCTTCCCTGCTGTCAACGTCCCTTGTTGGAGGTTTCCCCAAGTATCTTTCTAATTTTTTCTTATATAACTCCCAATTCGCTTTTCTCGGGTTGCGTACTGTTTGTCGATTAAAGTTCTCGAAATTGACCACTAATTCAATGTATGGATGGTCCGAGAAAGAGTGTTTCTCTAGGAGTCCCCATCTAACAATCCTGTCAGCTAGGGAGTTGGAATAAAGAGTAATGACAAGTACTTCCCTTCTTACGATTCTCCACCACAGTAACTTCTGCCTCCGTCTTGAAGCTCAACAGAGAGTCCTCCTCCATTACGACGCCTCTAAAAGCCCTTGCCAAGTCGCTCTCCTCTGAGGTGTACCCTTCCAGGATGTTGTCCTCTTCCTCATCTGACTGTCCTTTCGGGTGCCCCTTTTCGGTCGGCTCCTCCAAGTCTGGCTTTGCGTGTCTGCCTCCAGCTCGATACCTCCTGACTTGCTATTCGCATCAGATTTATAGATACGGACCGTCACATGCTCGAATCCGTACTTTATCCGGTGCTCTGACCTTTCTAGGGCTTTCACGGTCTCCTCCTCGAGCGGCTCCTCAACCTTGGCGACTCTCCAGTCCGCCGTGGGAAGCGTCTGATTGCACATCCTAAGCATCGTCAGGATGGTTTTAGGGTCGGCTGGCTTTTGGAGCCATACTCGTGCCCTCTGTTTACTTGGGATCTCTTCCCAGTCAACCGCCACGAGCTTTGCCCCGGGTTAGATCTTTTAAGGCGATGCTACCATTCGCTTTTAGGTTTCTACAGATTGACATGGCAGGCAGTTACCTTGAAGCTTCCTTGATACGTTTCCTTGATACTTCCTGCGTTTTCGCATTCTGGTTGTGGTCCTCCGCTCTGAAGCATCTCATCTCCTTCTCGAAGCTCCCATGCAACTCGATGAGCCCATCTTTGGATCCCTTGGCCAGGTATCCAATAAGGGTTCTTCTCTTCGTCACTTTGGCGAATGAGCAGTTGGATGACTGCGGCTGGCTCTTCCTCTTCTTGGCTTGGGGGGCTCCTCCCTCCGTACATCTCTGCCAGGGTTCGCCTTAGAGGCCCCGCCGGTTGGTTTAGAGGTTGACCCTGGGGTCTTCCTGTCCACGGCGTTCGGTGGCCCCATGGCTAGCCCCGCTTTGGAAGAAGATACCTTGGCATCCTCCTCCGCACCGGCGCGTCCCGCCTTCAGATGTTGCCCCTCTGTAGGGAGCTTCTCCATCTCAGCAACTCCTCGGCTTTTCAAGGCCTTAGAGTTTGACGGGTCACTGAACTCATTCCCGGACTTTTTTAGGGAGTTCCGTTCTCCACTTTGGTTTTTGTTAGGTAAGTACGAATTCATGTTTGGACCCACGAGTAGGTGGGAATGGGGTTCGTCCATCATGACATAGCCCGCTTGTCATCATAAGCCTGGTTAAAACTGGGAGGTCAGCCGGTCTTCCAAAGTTCGCATATTAGCGTTCGGGACCTCTCGGACACTCATCCCTCGGCATATGCTGTTCATATGCTTATTTCAAATAAAGTCACGTCAAATCTTATTTTTTGTCCGTTTTTCTCCGAGAATAGCATATTATCTGGGTCGAACTTCTAAAGGTCGAACCTACGCTCCGATGGAATACCAGAGTGTGTGCTAAAATACTGTGCCAGGGCTCAGTGCAAACCTCTTTTAAGACTTTTCGGCAATTCCAAAGTTATTTGAAAAATTAATTACTCCTCATTTGCAACATATTTGCTCTTCGATCATCTCTCCATATCAGCATGGCATGGCATCTCTTCATATCACCATAGCGTCGCTCCACCACCAATAATTTACTGGAGTTGACATCTTTTGTCATAGAACGGTTTCGAAAGAGATTTCAAACGGATGTTATTTACGCAGTCTTTAGCAAAGAATTTGATTCAGTCAATCATTTACTCTTGTTAAGTAAACTGTATATGCTGGGATTTCCTACAGACCTCGTAACGTGGATCTCCAGCTACTTAGATGGAAGAACACAAAGAGTTTTATTTAAAAAATATACATTCCCGCTTGGTCGTGCTACATTGTCCATTCTCTTCTCCAGTTACTATGTAATCTCTTTATTAATGACTTGCCCCCTGCTTTAACGAACTCTCTAGTTTTTATAGATATTTTCATCTTCCATCTTATATTAGCAGACTCCTACTAATAAACTTACCAAGCTTAACAAATCGTAGGACAATTCTGGGTGTAGTTTTTCTACATAACCTAATAAATGGGGATGTAGATAGCCAGCGCTTCTAACACGCTTAAATTTTAACATTCCTAATAGAAGGAATAGAAACTTTAGTCTTCTATTGCTTAGCCTCTGTAGTTAGACATATGCACAGCACCACCCTTTTAGTGTCTTATGTTCGAAATACAATGTTCACTACTCTATAACATCTCTTTCCTGTCCTACAAATTTAAAATATAGAATTTTAGATTTCCTTACTTCTCTTAGCTTAATAAATAACAAAAAGCTTAATAAATAATAATAAATCGTTTCTCGAGCTCCCCTCGATCGTCTGGGTCTCTAAGCTTTATGTTGAATTTAGGAATGATACCTGATGCACTTATTGACGCACAAGCCATTTCCAAAATTCTAGAACCCCGAAAACAAAAAAAAAAAATGGATCATTTTCTCCAGAAGTTCTTTTTAAAGCTATATTGCAAAGTTTCCAGTTCCAGTACAACTGGTACAACGCAGTCTATACCTTTTTTATCTTTATGTACGGAGGGTTTGCATATCCACATTGTTGTAAGACTCTTGCTGTCTGGGGACGTGATACTAGTCAATCAACTTCCGTTCGCCTAGAGATCACCAAGAGCTGGAGCTATGCAGCTTGACTGATCTAACGTCCTGATGCGCGAAGTAGGTGTGAAGGGGATCGTCCGCCCGCTTGCGCTCTTAACTTTAAGAGTAAATTAATGTATATTACTTATTTTTCTCCATTATAGAAAATGCACGTTTATAAGAAAGCTCTTCAGGCCTTAATTTACCCTATATCATCGACAACACCTCACAACTTTTTGTTGTGGACGGCTACGTCGCCAACATATTGTTACGAGTGTGAAGGACTACTGTGGGGAATAGCAAGGCAAGGTGTCAGATGTACGGAATGTGGAGTGAAGTGCCATGAAAAGTGCAAGGACCTGTTAAATGCCGACTGTCTTCAACGTAAGTAAAAGTATATTTTATTTTGATTGTGTCCTTCTTACAATAAAAATTAATAGGTGCCGCTGAAAAGAGCTCTAAGCACGGTGCTGAAGATAAAGCAAATTCTATTATAACCGCTATGAAGGATCGAATGAAGCACCGAGAGAGAGAGAAACCTGAAATTTTCGAATTAATTAGGTAACATGAAAAAAAAGTATTCTTTTTAAATATTGCGGGTGTATAGCTTTCAATTGTTTTTTGGTAATTGATTTATTTTATCGGGGTACAAATATAGTAAATTCCAATCCAAAATTTCATTATGATGTTAAATTCAGAATAAGTTCCTTATATAAGTGGCAACCACTTTCATGAAACGATAGTAAAATTTGCCATGGCATTCATTCATTAGAGCCGTATTCAGCATTGAGGAGAAAAGTCACACCGGTCATATGAAAGCTGTGAAACAGAGCGTCCTGGATGGTACAAGCAAGTGGTCAGCTAAAATAGCAATCACAGGTTTGAGTTTGATTAATAAACATCTTCTTATCGTCATATGTTTTTTTGTTGTCCGTTCAATTTGGATTGTATGTATGTGAATGTATAAATATTGGTCATTCTGATTGACCGAGCTGTATTATTATTAAAGTATTTATTTAGGAATATTGAATGCGTATCCATGTAAATGTTACGCTTGTTTATTTTTATTTTAAACAGTGTGTAATAAGCATGTAAAGAATACATGTACTTTTTTTAAAGCACAAAAAGAAGTTCATTTTACAATCAATAGCAATGTCTTTTTTTTTGTAATACGTGTAAACCAAAATTACCTAGTTAGCTTCTTAAGTATTGATGGAATATTGGGACTCATTATTCCCCGAAAAGATTTTTTAAATTTAAAAAAAATAATAACACACGGTTACGTTTAACAACGTTTTATAAGTTGCTTCTAAGAGGTGCCGAAGGATATATCCTTCATATGAGGATAATTTACTTGTTAGGCTAGCCCTATTCATAACAGACTTGTATTTAATAAACAAAGGTCAGAAGCTTTATAGAAGTATGTATGTATTTTAAAACATATCTTAAATCTATGTAATCGATTTAATTTAAGGATGACTTTCGGTGTGGATCCAGATACACACATAGATTCATTAGAACAGGCTGAGCACGCAACTGTTGAGGGAACATCTAAATGGTCATGCAAACTAACAATTACAGGTACACATACGAAACCATTTTAAAGACATTACAAAATTAAAAGAAATGTTAATTTTCTTTTTCCCGTAAAACACATATAGTAAAAATTGGTGCAAAAAGTAAAAAAAAAAAAAAATTTACACAAAAATCAAAAAAGATTCACAAAGATTTTGGTAGCTTACCCTATTGTATTTTCATTTAATACACGTATCTTATGTGTACGACCGCTTTCTGTCTAAATTAGATTAAAATGTAAACTAATGTTACAGCATGTTTTTAAATAAGGGTCTGAAAACGTATTACTATATACTATTTTTTTTCTTTCTTACATAATTTAAATTTTATTTTAATTTTAAGTCTTACCAAAATTTAAATCTGAACTTTTACATGATAGTTAAATTATTAAGCAGACTTTTACCATTTTTTAGCGCCAAATACAAATTATTTTTATTTATTTTTAAAAAGCATATATTTTATTAAAATATTTGGATTACTCATATTTTTTGAACAAATTTTTTTGTTCACATAACTCAAAGCTTGCCGGTTGTTCGAATTTTTTTTATGTGTGTGCACTTGGATCACACTTTTTGCAATTTTATCATTTCCATCGCCTCTTTTAAAATATTATTATTTTCCTCTAATTGGTGCTTTTATTTATATAATCTTACATATATGTAATTAAATATTACTGTTAAGTATGCTTCAATGTATTAATTATAAATATATGTATATATAATTATATGTATAAAAATATTTAAAAAATATTAATATATTATTTTTGTTTCATCAGTTCAAATGTTTATTGCTCAGCCACTCCTCTTACGAAAACACGAAGTTTTATCCATGTGCCTTACACTTTTTTTATAATATCTCTGAGAAACTAAATAATTATAATACATTTTTCCCGCTCAAAAGTATTATTTTATTTATTATTGCGGGCTGTTTGATAATTTTTCTAGATATTAAATCCCTGCAGTACTTGGCACTAGCTCGGAACTGTGCACGGCAGGGCACATGGTGGCGAACCGCATGCCTTAGCTTGCGCGTGTAATACTATTTATAGCCACAAAATTCAAAATTTACAGAGTGTGTCTGATCTGAATAAGTCATATATCAAACAAAAGGTATTACTCCAATTAGATAATTTGATAACGTTTGTCAAAAGTCTATCAGCTTGGGAGAAATTTGCGTAAATGTAAAATGATTTTGATTCACCAAATTAGGGCAAGTGTGGACATTGGAGTCTCCGGACATTTTGTTTCTAATAACATTTGTTGGAATACTCCTTTTGAATACGCGTCGTTTGACGCCTCAATCATTCCAACCCCTGATGTGTCCTTCTGTTTGCACTATATTATTTCCCCCAATTTTTTTACACTTTTGAAACACCTTAAGGTTACGTAAAACCATTAAAATAAACTTAAATTACTTAAATAAACATTAAATTAAAATATGTATAACCTTATAACCAACAAAGATACCTAAACATGTTATCTTTCGTTGAAAAGGTTTTTTTTTTAATATTTATTCCACTTTCTTTAAGACAAAACAACTAAATAGCAAATTAAAAAAAAAAAAACAGAAAAAATTATTTTTTTTAGGAACCACTTTTTTTTTTAACAATGGTGTCTAACGATTGAAATCACGTTTTGTTTGTAGATAGCCCTTTTTGATATACTTTTCACTTTTGATATATCGCATATTATCGGAATTACTCTAGATATAGATTAATCGATATAGCCAAGTCCGTCTGTCCATATAAACGCATGAATCTCAGACTATAAGAGATAGAGCTATGTGAGTTGGTATGGCTCCTGTATTACCCGACGGTTCAAGTTAGTTAGTTCATTTTTGCCACGCCCCCTTCTGCCCTACATAAAAACCATATTTCATATTTTAATTTAAAAAAAAAACAAGAAAGGAAAGCTAACTAAAACCGGATATATATCGCAAAACTCGGATATAGTTGGCCAATCCTTATGAGAATATCATAATAAAATCAATAAATTACAATAAAATATATAAAAAAAAAGTCCCAAGCTTCTATCTTCAAAAATACCAAAGTTGGTATTTCTACCAAATACCATTTCCGATCGTTCAGTTATATGTCAGCTATAAGATATAGTCGACCGATCGTTATCAAATTTAGTAGGTCGGGTTAACTGACCAAAAATAGAATCTGTACTAGTTCCAGCTTTCTATCTTCAAAAACACGAAAGTTGGGTCATAGCAGATCGTTCAGTTATATGGCAGCTATAGGATATTGTCGGCCGATTCTTATGAAATTTGGAATGTCGTATTATTTTGTCAAAAATAGTATTCATGGCATTTCCGATCCATCAGTTATATTGTAGCTGTAGGATACAGTCGGCCGATCCCGACCGTTTCGTTTATATACTGCGTGCAAAGGAAAGAAGGGTGGGTGCTCTCAGCTTTAAAACTGAGAGACTAGTTTGAGTAGAAACAGACTGATGGACAGACGGGCATGTTTATATCAACTCAGGAGGTGAGCCTGATCAAGAATATACATACTTAATAGGGTCGGAGATGTCTCCTTCACTGCGTTGCACACTTTTGACAAAAAGTGTGACCAAAAAATCCCACGGTCGGGATCGGCTGACTATATCCTACAGCTACCATATAACTGATGGATCGGAAATGCTGTAATTTTGTTGTTTTTATATCCTTGCAGAGGATATCATTATTTTGTCCAAACGTGTGCAACGAAGTTAATGAGTCATCTCCAACCCTATTAAGTACATATGTATATTCTTGATCAGGCTTACCTCCTGAGTTGATATAAACATGTCCGTCTGCCCGTCCGTCCGTCTGTCCGTCTGTAGGTTCTACGCAAACTAGTCTCTCAGTTTTAAAGCTATCGACTTAAAACTCAGCACACACCCCTCTTTCTTTTGCACGCAGTGAAACAGTCGGAACGACCGGGGTCAACCGACTATTTCCTATAGCTGCCATTTAACTGATTGATCGGAAATGCTATAACTTTGGTGTTTTTAGAGTTAGAGAGTGCTTTGTGTAAGAGTGACTAAGAGTAAGAGAGGCAAAATAATACAACCTACCAAATTTCATAAGGATCGGCCGACTTCTTGTATATTCCATAGCTGTCATTAAACTGACCGATTGGAAATGACGGAACTTTCGAGTTTTTGAGAATAGAACTTCGTACAGATTCTAATTTTTGTCAGTTGATCCGACCTACCAAATTTCAAAACGATCAAATTCTAAAAAATTTCGGAACGGTATAAATGGTTTTTGGTTTTTAGTAAAAATAACATCTTTTGTATTTTTGAAGATAGAATTTTGGGCTTTTTTTTAGATTCTGTATTGTAATAAATTGGTTATATTATTATATTCTAATAAGGATTTGCCATCTATAACCGATTTTTTCGATATACCATATATTCGCTTTTAACTGCAAGGGTATATAAACTATAGTTAGCTTTTTTTTCTTGTTTAAGTTAGAGTTCGGATTTTGCTTGAATGCTATTTTTGGAAAAAAATACGACACACCATAATTCATAACGATCGATCTATATCTTATAGCTGCTACGATAGAAAGTGGTATTTGGCAAAAATACCAACATTTGTATTTTTGAAGATAAAAGCTTGGGACTTTGTTTTAGCTTTATTGTAATAAATTGGTTATATTATGATATTCTCATAAGGGTCGACCAACTATATCCGATATTTGTGAATTATATCCGATCTTAACTGCAAGGGTATATCCGCTCGGAGTTAGCTTTCCTTTCTTGTTTTTTTTTTTTATGTAAATAATTTTTTAAATATAATTTTTTAGATTAGCACACTGCTACACAATTGGCAGCTTCATCTTATCGGGTTTTATAGTTTATTACAATAATTAGTTTATGTAATTAAGTGCTTTTTAGGGCAAGAGGTTGAGGGTGGTCAAATTGCTTGGTCAAAATCCGTTCTGGTTGGTCTTGAGGGTGGTGTCGTTTCAGTCTTTTGTTGATTCCTTTACTTTGTTTAGCGCCGTTAATAGCAGCGGTACCAAGTTGTTTGGCTAGACTGTTGGGGCGCTCATTTAGCCTTTCCGAGTGATTCCCTGCAGGGTGTCTCCAATTTTAAGCGCCTAAACCACGGAGCACCAGAGATCTTTCAGTGTTTCCGCTTGCAAGATCCGAATTTTTATGAGGCTGGTTTTTGCGGCGACTCGATAATCGGGAATCCGCAAAAAGGCTTGGGGCTTATATGGACTCATAAATTTAGAACTTGTATGAAGGAAGGGCTCTGATTGAACTTAAGTTGCGGCTGACTTCAGCCAGCTACTTCGCAAATTG